TTCAATAAAATAATATTTTTCATTACATCAATAATTTTTTCTTCTTTTTCAACCACACATTTCCCATCATATCACTATTCAAAATCAATTCTTCCCCCAAAAATTCATACTAAACAAGCTGTAAATTAGCAACATAATTGTCAACAGAAGACTTTCGTTGGTACAATTTTGTTACTAATCCGTCAGTAAAAATTTTAAAACTAAAAAAAATAAATTATATAATTTAGTGACAAAATTTCCCGACGAATGATTCTGTTGAAAACAATATAAAAGAGTAAAATAATTACCGACGAAAAGAATCTGTTGGTAAACATTGAATATTTTTTTTAAAGTATACAAGTAATAAATTAGACTAACATTTCATTTCCCACACTCAAGAAATTTCATTCCCACTCAGAACTTGCACATTTTCATTTCCTCAAACCAGTTTCCCACTCAAATATCTGTAATTCACAAAAACTAAAAACCCTCTTGTACGCCTCTGCCTCCCGTCTCCCATTGCCGCCGCTCAAGCCCTCTTGTATCCTCAAGCCCCTTCTACTTTCAGCGGGAGTTCTAGACTATTTCTCAGTAGGGAGGAGAATCTTTAAAATTTTCTCTTACTATTTCTACTCTCTCTTCTCTCATTTACCCACTCACGTTCTCATCCCTTTCTCCCGTGTGTACTTTTTTTTTTTTGGACAGATATTGAGTGGATTTTGCGCCTTTTATTTGAGGTATTTTTCTGTTTTTCGTTGTTTTATTTCAGATCTATGGCTTTTTTTATGTTTTATTAAATTAAATTTGAATTTGTTGTTTTGATGGTCTAGGGTTTAATAAATGCGTGCTTTTGATTCTAAATTAATTAGGCTTTTGCTCGCTACTTTGATTTCTATATATTCTGTCGTTTTCTGAATTCTGTTTTAGGATAAGTTGTTGATTGATACTTTTTGAAGATAAAGTTGAATAGCTAGAGCTTTGCTTATGCTTAGCTAAAGTTCTTGTATTGTATTTATATATTATGTAGTTTTCTTAATTCTGTTTAAGGATAAATTGTTGATTGATACTTTTTGAAGATAAAGTTGAATAGCTAGAGCTCTGCTTATGCTTAGCTAAATCTTCGAGTCCATGATATATTTTGGCTGAAAATAGCATTTTTCATATTGTTTACTGTTTTTTTCATCCTTCCCTCACTTTTTGTTTGACTTCAGGGATTGAAATGCCTATTTAAAAGTAGACATCCTTAATGCTTCATGTAGTATTTTCTTTCTTTTGTAGGGAAAATGGCCCTGGAGATCACCCAGTATCTATTGGCTGCTCAATCACCAGATGCAAAAATTCGAACAGTGGCAGAGAGTGCTCTTGGTCAGTTCAGGGTCCAAAATTTAACCATGATATTGTAGCTTTAACCATTTTGAGGTTTTGGTATACCTAAATTTCTATTTGTTGTTTCCATTTGAGGACATTGTTCAGTTGATTATTTGTCACTGTATAGATGAATACTTGAAGGAAAAAATTCTCATTTTAAGATCAACGTATTGTTTTGGTTCCTCAAAGATAATCAAGAGTGTGATATATTTTGATTAACTAACTTTACATTTTGTATTGAACTCTGCAGAAACAAGAGCAATTGCTCATCAAACCTAGATAAAAATGAGAGGTACATTCATACATGTATATTTTGATGACATCCTTTAAGAGAGCTAGATCATCTAAGTTTCTGTTATTGTGTACAATATGTTCATAATTTAATGTCTTTCTTCTTAGCACGGGTATTGTCTATCTGGAAAGAACAAAGCCTAGTAAAGAAGACACATTGAGAGAGAATACCACAATACAATAATGGATTTGAACTAGAGTTAAAAATCGCATTCTTCTCTTTCTCAAACTCGTCAAAACCAGAAAGCAGAAATTTTGCTATCTTATCGTCTTTATGAGATTTCTCTTAGTAATTTTTATTGTTTATGATCATTGCATGCCACTAAATGTTCTCTTCCCAATGTGTTAAATGTTGGCTGAAATTTAGAATGTGAAATCTTATTTTGGTTCAGTTTGAAGCCTTATTAACAATCCTCCCTAAGTCCTTCCACCAATCCTCCCGACCAAACAACCTCAATGAGTAAAGCGTTAATGTTATTATGGTGTTTTCCTTATCAAAAGTTCTGTAGCGTAGATAACTTGTTATTTTTTTTTTTCTATTTATTTTCATATTTGTTTCATTCATGTAGGTTTTATCTAAAAATGCTCGTTTTGAGCAAATATGGAGAAGTCGAAAGGGGAAAATGAAGCTGTAGAAGATGAAGCGGTACATGAAATGTATCGACTCTATGATGTTGTTCGGGTTGATGTGGAGGAGAAAGAGAATGAAGTGCAAGAAAAGGAGTAAGTTCTGCTGTTGCATAATATTGCACCGTTAGTTTACCAACAACCCTTCCTGATACTAAATTCCTTTAACTTTGACGCAGGGATATAGAATTGCAGGACCACAGGATGATGGCTCAATATTTGCCTCTCCTAAGAGAAGTTTTGCCAACCGCTGCTGTGGAGATTGAAGATAATATTCACTATTACACGTCTAGACGAGGTTTTGCTCTTTCACTTGTTCTCTTTTTCTTTCATTGGGATGTTTCCTTGTCCTTCCCCGGAAAGAATGGCCAGAACTTATTGGCTTATTACTTGCAAATATGACTCAATCAGATAGACCTGCATCCCTGAAACAGGCAACACTGGAAACACTTGGCTATGTGTGTGAGGGAATATCTCACCATGATCTTGTGCAAGATGAAGTAAATGCTATTCTCACAGTTGTTGTTCAAGGCATGAATGTTACTGAGGCAAACCCAGAGGTCCGGCTTGCTGCAACCAGAGCTTTGTACAATGCCCTTGATTTTGCACAGACCAACTTTGAGAATGAGATGGAGAGGAACTATATTACGAAGGTGAATTGTGATGCAGCCTTTTCATCAGAACTTGCTCGATCTGTTCCATCACTGGAACCTGATGGAGTTGACCTTCTATCAGTAAGTTCTTAAGCTCAAGCTTGTGTTCATATATATAAGCTTGCAGTGGCTGCTCATGTTGTAACAAGTCTATATATACATTTAAA